TGAAGCGTGTGTTTTTTGTGTGTTGGGTTGTTTTTTTTTCGTTCGCCAACTTATAGTGAGTCCTGAGTTCTCAAGTATTTATTTGAAAAGAAATCAACACAGTTTTGCCTGCTGGACTCTTCATGTCGAGTAAGTAATGCACAGTCATAGAAGAACAGAAGTTCACAGATATACTAGTCTTTGTCTTTGCCCGCAGCTTACAGGAGTTGAAGTTTTTACCGTCCAGTCGTCCATATCACCACCGGGAGGGGAGCTCTGGAATGCTTCGTGCATCATCATTGTGAACATAATACTGAAAAGTGCTGATGCCATGGCACAGCTCTGCTTCATTCGATTTTTCACACAAAAGATTTCAAACATATCGCCCTTGTTCTGGACATTGGCTTTCATGCCATCATGAAATTGGGACACCACAGTAATGAACTTAAGTGGGCAACCGTTCTTTGACGCCAAGATTTCCGTAAGCCTTCGGATCCCGACTTACAGTATCAAAGGCCTTTGTTAGGTCAACAATGTAAATATCATGCATAAAGCTTTATTCTGCCCACTGCACTTTACCTGGATCTGCCCGAGAGATCATGTCAGCTGCGTTTGTTTTGGCGCCAAAACGACACTGACCTCATGGCATCATTTGAAGATAGATGCTTCTTCAGGCGATTAAGACTCCCCTTCTCAAAAAATTTAATCCATCCCCCGCAGAGCTCAAGAATTTCATACCTGTCTCCCACCTTCACTTTTTTAAAATAAAAAAACAAAGGAGAACGGTTTTTGTTTGTTTGTTTGTTTGTTTGTTGTTGTTTTTTCGGGGGGGGGTTCAATTGAAGAATCATTTAAAAGGGAAAAAAAATTAATGAATTATATAAGTCTGCCTATCAGCAATTTCATAACACAGAAACTGCGCTTTTGAAAATATATAACGACCTCTTGTGTGAGGCGGATGAAAACAAAATTTCAATTCTTTCTCATCTTGGTCTTAGTGCTGCCTTTGACACTATAGATCACACCATTCTTATTAAACGATCGTTCAACACGTTTGACCTGTCTGGCAGAGTTCTTGGCTGGTTCAAGTCCTGCCTGATTGGCCGTACACAATCCGTGGTTGTAGCCTACACAACTCTCTTTCGTCAATGTTTAAACTAGACTTTGGAGTGCCTCAAGGTTCAGTATTGGGTCCAATTTTGTGTACGTTAGATATACACAGCCGCTTGGAGCTGTGATTAGAAAGCACAATATAAATTATCACATATATGAAGACGATGCACACTTGTACAAATCTGATCCACCATCAGCTGTTAAAACCTTGGTTACCACCATGGATCTGTGAATTGATCATGTCAAGAACTGGATGATTGATAATAAGCTCCAGTTTAATTAATTAAAATAAAACTGAAATTCTTTTATATAAAACAGTAAAGTTGTTCCGCATCCGATCCGAACACTGGGGATTGCCTTGTTAGTGAGACAACTTCCTGGGCCTCCGGCATATTGTGGTAGGGTGGCCAGTTCCTTTCCACGCCGCCTTTGCTTCCCAAACTCGAAGTCAGGTACCCATTACTGCTGGGTGTTCAGCAGGGGGTGAAAAAAATTCGTGCCCGAACCGAGGCTCGAACCTGGACTTTCCGCTTCGGAGATGAGCGCACTAATGCTCCGCCACCGTATTATTTTATGTAACCCAAAGAAAAGCCACATCCCCATAGACATTGAGCCTGTTGGTACTGAAAATGAAAAAGTGTATTTTACTGATAAGGCAAAAACTCTAGGAGTGTATTTCGATTCCAAATTGTCAAAGGAACATATCATATCAACTATTTATGTACCATTTTATTTTGTGAATTGTTGAAGAATTTGTCAATATGTCTATGTTTTTGAATGAACACTCATTGAAAACGCTCGTGTCATCTTTACTGTTTTCATGTGTCGATTATTGCAATGCTTTACTTTAACTAACATACCAAATTAATACCATTCTTCACAAGTTAAAACGTTTTCAAAATCATGCTCCTGGGCTTGTACTAAATAAAAAGAAGAGGGATCACATTGCTCCCGTGTTTTAGGAACGTTGCATTGGCCTCCCGTGTCAGCTAGAATACCATATTAAAATTGCAATATTATGTCATAATTGTGTCAACAACAAAGCTCCCTCATTTGTAAGTGATCTTGTCCAGATTTATATTCCATCTTGATCACTAAGATCAGGCGACCAGTGTCTTTTAAGAGTTCCTAGAAAAGGAGGTAAAAAAAAAATAGCTGAAAGACCGTTTGCCCACCTTGCTCCACCAGTTTGGAACTCTCTTCCCCAACCCTTGAGACGTACAATATCTGAGTCTAAATTT